TGTCTTCTTTGTTATTTTTCCTTTCTGATATTTTATGTAAGTGTCAAACTTTTGATCATTGACAAGATTAATTAACTCGATGATACATTTATCAACCCGTTTGGTTTTCTTCCCATCTAAATAAATATATTTTAATTTCCGATGAAATGTTTCAACATACATATTGGTGTTGATTTTAGCCCCTTTTCTGAAACAGTATGCCCACATTTTGGCTCTTTCAAAATAGTATGTCATAAAATATTTATGGAATTCTCGCGTGTCTTCATCTTCACATAGTTGCTCAGAAAATGTTTCTAACATTTTGTTGAACATTTCTTCATCTAATTCATACATTAAAGTTTTTAAAGTTTTGTACACTGCTTGTCTTTTATGTTTTGGCACAGAATTCAAATGACCTTTCCATGCTCTGTCCACATGCCAAGCACATAATAATTTTTGGCAAGAACCAAATGTATGCTCCCATGCATTATAGAACATGGGAGCATCATCGCTCATGAAAACCTTTGGCTTGATATCAATGATCTTTTTGATGCAGTTAAAAAAGTTTACCAAAATTTTTTTCTGATACTGTTGATGATATTAAGAAAGCAACTGGTATGCCCTCTTCATACTTATCAACGACAAGCAATGTTACAAGTTCAAATCCATAAGCAGAAATTCCATGTGTAGAATCAATACAGATTCTATCATTACCAAATTCTATCAACATTTTTTTTTGAAATTCTGTCATTATTGCTAACATGAAATCATTTTCGTTTACATTTGCATATTTTTCTCCTTGACGTTTATACATCAGAACGGGGTTGAATTCCATTTGCGACATCGTATTAACCCAGGACCAAACACTTGTCTCATCATCTGTTAAAATTAATCCTTTAGAATTAATGCTCAGACCAAAATCCCTCTTAATGTTATGCAGGTCTTTTCTCGTTATTAACTGTTTTGTTTCAATATCATCTCTCGAAGAGAATCTTGCATCTTGCAAAATTCGTTTCTCTTCCACCCCCTGCAATAATTTACCTGAAATAATTTTAAAAGATAATTAGGAGATAAAAATTATATATACTATATGCAAAATAAAGTTTTTCATTTATATGAACTTGAAAAGAAAATTTTATATTATTTTATACCTACTAAATATGAATTCCATGCAAACAATGGTATGATATTAGAATATCAGCTTGCAACTGAAATTTTTTTTTAATGAACATTTCATTGCCCTAATCAATTCTTTCAACAATATATAAAATAGTAAGTGTTTTTGAAATTTGAACATCAACTTAAGGAGTACAGCAACTGAGACCAATATTTATCCAGCGCTTTTTGCATTTCTGCCTTATAAGACACAAGCAACGTAAGTTGCAATGTTTCAGGAAGTGAAATGTTGGTACCCTAAGTAGAAGCCGGACATTATAAAATTTGATTTTGAAGCCGCAGCCATCAATAGCTGTATGTTAGAATTTCCCAGTTCGACTATATTCGGTTGTAACTTTCATTTTAATCAATGTTTGTGACATAAGATGAATGGGGAGAAATGGGTGTAATAAAGGAATATAAAGAGAACGAAGATATAAGACATGTCTGTAGAATGATTTCTTTCTGCCTTAGCTTACTTGCCAATAGAACATGTAGATGATACTTAGAGCATTGTATAGGAAAAAAGCTTTTAGCATTGACAAACTTACCACATTCATTGATTCTTTTGTCGAGTAGTGAATGGAAAATCAAAATATGCCCATTAAAATACGGAATGTACATGGACAGCATCATAAGACAAATAATTCTGTTGAAAGGTGGAATTCTAAATTAAACACAATCACTATCACTGGCAGAAACCAGCCTATTGTGCACTTATTAGTTAAAATACTAAAAGAAGAAACACAAAAAAGTGTCTTTTAATTTGAAAGCCAGAGAATTAGGCGACCCTGAAATAACAAGGAAAAAAGCATATGTAAAATTGGATGAAAGAATTAAAAACATCCTAAAAGAATTCGAAACATCAAACAATTTAGAAAAATGTCTAAAATCTTTAAGTTTTGTAACTAGGTTGGACTAAATTGTAAATTATATTTATGCCTTTATAATAAAGGATAGCTAGTATTTATTTACTAGTATCTGTTTTGTATATTTTACTTCTAATATTTATTTTTACTTACATTAATGCAGCTAATTAATTTTATGGTAACTGCACCTGTTCTAATATTTGACTCTAAAATACAGTTTTCCACAAAATCCCTGAAATTTTTATTTTTATTACATTTTATATTTACACAAAAGTTTTTATTTTTATTACATTTCGCTATGTTTAAAATGCATTCGCACTATAATATCATAACAATTTAAATACATATAAATAATTAAATATGATTGGCAAAAATGTATTTATCATTGTAATTCGATAATCGAGTGCAAAAACAGAAACATCGGTAAAAGAGATTTGGCCACTTAAAATACTGTTTTAAATTATATTTGCAATTTTTAAAAGTATTTATTTACTTATTTATCTGCACCCTTTATCTGTTCTAAGATGGGGAAAAGATGTGCAGCTCTAACCACGATGAGTTTCGAAGTGTCTGCTCTGATCGCGAAATTGTACGTGTCCGCTCTGGCAACGTCCGGTGTAGCCACACCACCTGTTCACAAATGTGACAATAGATTACTGGCGAAAACTCTAAACTGACTATTAGCTCATTAGTATAATATAGTTACTGAAAAATGTAAATATCATGACAGATGTATCTTATATACTAAAAACTAATGGAATAAAAAAAGTATCTTTAAATTTACAAATATGCCTATACAGTAGATTAGTAAGAAATATGATACTTAATTTAATAATAAGAAAAAAAAACAATTGTTACAAATCTCAGGTTACTTAAATATAGATAATTAATCACTTTTATATAAATATTTAATATGCTGTTCATAAATACAAGAGAAAACAATTTACCATAATTTTAAATCAGGCAAAATATTAATCTTAGTTTCATCTAGATTTTGAATCAAACTTCAGCATTTTCAAGGTCCCTCTTCTTCAAGAGAATTATCCAAATTTATATTAAAAGCAGTTGACAGAGAAACACAAACATTGAACCATTCAGATAAAACAGTAATGAAATATAACAAATTAAGATATTAGAATTATAAATGTGTTAATTCCTTCATGAAGCTGTTGACTAATTTTATTTTAAAATTTTGTACTAAGAGATACCTGTGTCTGATTGTCCTCAAAGCTGATAAGTCTGCTGTTAAGCCTAATTTTAAATTTCACACTCGCGTGTTTCTCTCCCAATCTGAATTTTCCATGAATGATTTTCGTTATCAACTTCATTAATATTAAAATTCATTCACTTTTGGAATTTTGAACCACCTGTATATTAATGACAGCTAGAAAGGCTCCAACTGCATAAGTAATTATAGTTTTATTTAAGAGAAATTAATACAATCAAAATACGGTCTAACACATAACTTGCCTGCTATACTTTGCTTTTCTTGTTTAGGAATAGGGAGATGACAAAGGGATTTTTCATGCTTGTAATGTTCTTTAAAATATACAGCTTCAAAACGATTGCCAAAATCTTTTAGTATGACAGTAGCTGTGCAAGAGAAACCTGTTTTGGAAGTCCCTTGTGCTTTTAGCTGTCTTTCATTTCACCTTTGCCTTTTGCTTTGTATGTCCCACTTCTATTACAGCAAAACAGCGTCCTGGTGTAATTTTTATGTTTCTGCCCAGATGAATCTACCACAAAATGAGTCTTTGTTTTTCTTTCTTCATCCGATAGCCATGAATAAAAGTCTAATAAATAAATAAATGTATAAATTTTCATAATAAGGGCATCTGATTAGTAAATAAAAATATGCAGATTGCAGCCACACAGAAAAATAATCTTAATTTTTAAAACTATAGTGTTCTGAAATTATATGTTTCAAAGTAATTAATTTGTTAATTTTTTCAAATAAATGCATATTTGTGTGCTGAAACAGCTTAAATTAATAATACCATATATATGGTGTTTCTTCTAACAAATGTATTGCTGAACTAGCTCTAATGAAGCTAATTAATTTTAATGTAAAAAGATTAAGGGCTATATACAGAAGTTACGCAATATATTTTGCTTATTTATAATTGAACTAGGAAAACAAAATAATAAAAAGTTCATTGCATACCTTGCTTTTTTTGAAACTCCAGTTTTATACATTTGGTCATATTGCTGTAATTATGGCAAGTCTCTAAGTGAGATCTTAAATCTCCTGTAGTAGGAAATAGTTCCCGGCATTCGTCTTCGCCGCATTTAATATTACTTCGCCTTATATTATGGATACGTATCCTATGTTTAGCTAAAGAATTTTTTGTACAAAATTGCTTCGTACAATACGTACACGAAAATGGTGCAAATTTATTATTTAAATTCGTGTATTCTTTGTGCATACGCTTCTCATGCGCTTTCAAATATCTTTTCGCATAAAAAGATGAACTGCAAGATTTACATTTAAACATATCCATTTTGATAATAAAAAAAAAGCAATATCCTTGATTTAAACAAACCGCTAACAATTGGCGAGAAACACAATTGCAGTTGGCGAAAAACCAGAAATAGCGCCTAAAAACCAAAAACGTTTCGGGAGTGTCACGTGGTATACAGCCAATGACAGTGAAGATACGCATTTTCCTCTTCTGGTCTTGAGACGCCTGTCACGTTTTTCCAACAGCAACAAATCCTAGCGTTGCCATTTCGCTAAAGTTAAACTATATTTGCCGCAATTTAATGCCTTGGGTCGAATACCTAATCCAAGTGTTACCGATGTACTGATTAAAGAAACTGCAACATAAAAGAGAGTTTTAACACTTGTTTATGCAAAATGTTGCTAATGTTTTTCATATAGCATAATTATTTCGATTTTCAATTTTTAAGTTATCGTCTTTTCACTTTTCTTTCGCGAGCTCTAAAATAAAGATTAGATGAATTTATTCTACTAATATTCTTTTCTCAATCATTTTAAGCTTTTACATTGTTTTCTGCTTAGAATTATTTTCCGTTAACACATATCTTTGTAGTATTATTTTCATGAGTTAAAAGAAAAAGAAAGGAAAGGAAAAGACAGAGGCAATAGTGTTAACCAATAGGAAAAGATTGTTTACCGGAGTGTTCTTGTGGTAAAATTTCTGACATTAGTTTCAAATGATCGATTTTTTAAATTAGGCGTATTCTTGTACTAATACTCCATCCAGTGTTGTTTTCTTTGTTATACTGTCATCAGATCTGTGGATATATCAATTCTAGTTATGGTCTATTATCTCAGTATAAATCGATACTATTCTCTTAAGAATATAGCCGGATGAAAATGACAGCACAGTATCGGCCCTATCGTAACGAAGACGGTATGGAAGCTGAACAGGTAACATGGGGTGATCAAGAAGCGGGTGATGTTGAAATATATCAAAGAACTACAGAAGATATACGAGTAGTTTCGAATAGAAATCTTGTTGTGGGTGGCATAGGAATTGGATTACTAGGTGCTCTTTTAGGTTTAATTGTTGGTTACTTCGCACATTCGGAACACAGTGAATGCGTTCCTTCATTAGCAGTGGCTTTACATTCTGTTCAAGAAGCAAATCCATATGTTCGTAAGAAAATTTCGCAAATGATAAGCAATGAAGAAATTGAGAATTTTATTAAAACATACAGTCTAGAGCCACATGTTGCTGGTAGTTCAACTGACAGACATTTTGCGAAGAATATTAAAAACGAATGGCTCAAACATGGTATTGATACTGCTGAAATAACGGAATATGATGTACTCCTGAGTTATCCAGACAAAGAAAAGTCTAATGTCATAAGAATTATTGATAAGCAGCTTAACAACATTATGATCTTTGAGGCAGTTCGGAAAAAATCACTCAATCCTCCATTCAGTGCTTATTCTTCAAAGGGAAATGTAACAGGACAGCTTTTGTATGTCAATTATGGCCAGACATCGGATTTTCAGTATTTAAGAGAGCAAGGTATATCAGTAGAGGGGAAGATTTTGATAGCAAGGCATTGGAAATTGCCTGCTGATGAAATAGTGTGGAATGCTCAACAGGTGAAAGCAGTAGGTTTAATTTTATACCCAGATCCTGAGAATTATAACCCTCCAATTTTAAAATCCGATTCCTATCCACAAACATGGTGGCTTCCACCGAACGCAGCTCGCACAGATTCTGTTCTTTGGAACGGAGCCGGAGATCCATTAACTCCGAGTTATCCGTCACGCCGTGGTGCAAATCGTTTGTCTGTGAATTCTGCTCTTCTTCCTAGAATAGTTGTGCAGCCTGTTAGTTATGCTGATGCATATAAGATTTTAAGTTCGATGGATGGTAAGGAAGCTCCAAAAGAATGGCAAGGAGGATTTAATTTCACTTATAAAATTGGGCCATCATTTAAAGATCCAAACTGGAGTATACAAATGCAGGTTTACAATCAGCTCATTAATAAAACTGTATATAATGTTATAGGAACAATTCGAGGGAAAACTGAACCTGATCGTTATGTTTTAATTGGCGGCCACAGGGATGCCTGGGCGTATGGTGCAGTCGATGCAGCTGGTGGAACGGCAGCATTATTGGAACTTTCGAGGGTGTATGGTCGTTTGTTAAAAGAAGGTTGGAGACCTAGGAGGACAATAATGTTCTGTAGCTGGGGTGCCGAAGAGCATAATATGATCGGCTCCACCGAGTGGCTGGAAGATAATTTGAAACTTCTTCATGGTAGAGCTGTTGCTTATATAAATGCTGATATTTTGGTTGCTGGGAATGCATCCATTCGAGTTGTAGCATCACCACTACTATATAATGCTATTTTTAATGCTACAAAAGAAGTTTTAAATCCGAATGATAATGAAAGAGCAGAAGGTTTGAAAACAGTGTATGATGCTTGGCTTGTAACTTTTCCGAACAAAAGAAATATATCTAATTTATTATATCCAAAATACTCGCAGGTCATTCCAGTTGAAGATTATGATGATTTTATCATAAAACCTCCCACCAACAATCATTCCAGTCTTTTAGACAGCTATATAAAAAACGCAATGCAGTTAAAACGTCCTAAAATCAGAGAGATGGACATGAGGGGAAGTTATGCTCCTTTTTTTGTTCATGCAGGCATTCCAGCCATTGATGTGTCATATGTCCATGATTCCACTATGTCCAGTTCATCGTATCCCTTACATCACACTGAGTTTGATAATTTTGAATTTGTAAAAAGGTTTATTGATCCATCTTTTAAATATCATGCTTCTGTAACAAAAGTTTTGGGGGAACTGTTACGGGACTTGGTGGATTCTCTATTTTTACCTTTTAATTTATTTGACTATGCACAGGTACTCCAAGATTTCTATGTCAGTTTATATTCGAAGATGAAACCTAGTATGGAGCAGAATGGTTTGGATTTGAATTATTTAGAGCAAGCCATAAAAAATTTTTCAGATGCTGCCATGAAATTTCATGCTGCGCAAGAATCTGTAGATTTATCCGATCCCATGACGGTTCGGCGAATCAACGATCAGTTGCTTCTCTTGGAAAGAGCATTCCTGGATCCCAACGGCTTACCCCGAAATATATACAAAAAGCATATTGTTATGTCTCCTAGTGAAAGTTTTTTATCTACAGGTGATATTTTTCCTGGTCTGTTAGATGAATTTTTGAACTTGGAGCAATATCCCCAGGATGAAGAATCATCTGAAATAATTAAAGCTCATTTTTCTGTTCTAGTGTTCACTATTCAGTCTGCTGCCAAGGTCATTCAAAATGTATAATGAGGCTTTCACCATGCTGTTTGTTACCGTGTGAATAATCATTTTTAGCATAGCATTTGTTATTTTTACAAACTGAGTTTGAAACTTGTTAGATCTGATTTTTGTTGATGTTATGTGTGTTGTGGAAATTTTTTATGTGATTAATGGCTGAATCTTTGGTTTATGGTAACTTGGTGAAAATTTAGAGCCATTTTCGTACTGTTACTGCTGAACAAAAAAGCTTTACCTTTGAAACAGAGATAAAAAATGCACAATCAAATGTTGAAAAATGCTTAAATTAGTTGAAATATATCAGAATTTTTCAGAACATATATAAAAATGCCGGTACTTTTCCGTTTCGCCGGCGCAAATCTCGCCAAGCAGACTTTATTGGCGACAACATACAGTATACACATAAAAAATATTAAAAAAATGTTAGTTTCTAAGATTCTTTTTAAAAAAGAAGGCATAAACCATTTTAATATCGCTTAAAATTTTATAAAAAGCCAATAAATAAAGACAACAAATTCGTAAAAAGACATTAAGAATTTACTATGCTTTCTTTGTTGAACATCCTGATTCGCCGGTTCATATCACGTGACCCCAAGCGATCTCATCTCACGTAAACTACTCTACAAAAATCTAATGCTCTTAGTAATTATCCACATTAATTTCAAGTTAAATCTTAATTTGGAACACAAGTTTAAATGCAAGAAATATTTCAATTTGTACGAATAGCTTACTCAGAAATTATGTAAAACTGCAGTGCTTTACTTCGCTAATGCATTCTCATTAGAAGTGATGAATTTAACCCTTGACTTTACCTTTTCTATATTTTTTGGCTTCGGGTAAGTGCTGTGATTGCATCCTAATTAACTTAATTACCGAAAATTGCCTTAAACATAAAACTGAACTAAACTATCTGATAAAAATTCTATGTAATGATATGCCAGTATTGAAAGAAACAATCAATCTGATAAGAAAAAGCTGCGACTTGTTTTGAAAATGAGGCGTAAAAGGTTACCAGCGAGAATATTTCGTTTGGCATGGGTTGTACCATTATTGGCGACTTTATCGCTTGCGCCGGCAAAACGGAAAAGTACCAAAATGCCTAATTGTTAAAAAAAAAGTACATACATCCATTATATGCATATTTGTACATATTCATTGTGCATATATCCCTTTGCAAGAATAAAATATTTATCTATATATAAAATAATTGAATAAATTAAAAAAAATTGGAATAAAAAAATAATAAATACTGCTTAATTCTGCTTAAATTATCGGTACAGCTTGAGTATAGGACCCCATTGGCGATTTTTGGCTTGGCGCACTTTTTGGATGGTTGTTTTTCTGGTAACCCAGTAAATTCTAGAGTACTCCACTTCAGCAACCCTGTCGCATTCCCGCATGTTTTATGGAAAGTGTCATTTTCTTCGAAGGAGAAAATATTGATGTATTCAACAAAGTTCTAGAAATTGTAAGGGACATAAATTGGGCAGAGCATAGGATTTCTTTGTAAATTTACCATGATTTTGTAAACTTTACTAAATTTCCAGCATTTCTTTTATTTTTAATTTAAATATGTATTCTGAACTCTTGTTTTCAGTTTTATAACTTAAAATTTGCATTTTCAATATTGCTGCTTAAAAAAATATGCCTCCATGTACTTGTGTATTTTCAAACTTTTCTTTACTTTTAATTTAAACATGCATTCTTAACTCCTATTTTCATATTTTTAATTTAAACATTTATTCTGAGCTCCTATTTTTAATTTTACAACTTGTAATTTGTATTTTTAATATGGCTGCTAAAAGTATGCCTCCATTTATTTATTTATTTTCAGTTTCACTGTTTAAATATATATTCTAAATTTGTATTTAAAATTTTTCTTGTTAAAATGTGCATTCTAACATCTATTTTCAATTTTAACTGCTTTTACAATATGCAATAAAATATAATAAATTTACAATTTAACTTGCCAATATATTTTAAAATATGCCCCTACTTACTTATGTACCTTCAAATTTGCTGTTTAAACATATATTCTAAAATTTTTTTGGTTAAAACGTGCTTTCTAAACTTGTGTTTTCAATTTTAACGGCTTTTCCGTGGCTTGGCGACATTTCTGGTCTCCAAGCCAAAAAATCGCCAATGGGGTCCTATACTCAAGCTGTTCAAAATTATCAAGATGAAATTCATAATACAAACATTAAAATGAGTGAAAAATAAATAAAATTTAGATTATGAAACATTTTATTAAGTTAATAAAAACTGGTTAAAAATATATACTTTATCATTGTAAAAGCAATCACTAAATCACCTGTTACCATGTTCTAAGATCAGCCAGTTAATGCTTTTTAGTTAGTTTGCATAGTTAAAGGAACTATTACTCACTAACATTATATGCGGAATAGAGATCAAATGCTTATGTTACATAAATGGACCTTTTATGTTCCAAACTTGTCATATGGTTAATGTATGATATGTCTGTTTGCATAATGCCAGTTAGTATTTCCTCATTTAATATTTCTTTTTGATGACACAACACAGAATAAAGTCTGTAACATTGTTTTTTTATAAAATTCTTTTTATTTTTTCTGTGAAATTATTAATCTTAAAAAATAAGCTAAATATTGCCAAATGAATGCCAGACTTAAAATTTAGGAAGTTTACTGTAATTTTTATTTGATTGTTATGTTTTTGTTTTTTTATACTATATTTTGGTACATTTCTGTTTCTATGGCACAAATCTCGCCAAGCAGACTTTGTTGGTGACAGCATACCTATACACATAAAAAATTTTAGTTCTAAGAATTTTTTTTTTTGAATGCATAAACATATTAATATGATTAAAATTTTTTGTAAAAAGACATTATTTAGAATTTACTATGCTTTTCATAGGTACTTCATCCTGATTCGCCGGTTCGTATCACGTGACCCAAAGTGATCTCATCTCATGTAAACTATGCTACAAAAATATAATTCTCACAGTAATTATTTACATTAATTTCAAGTTAAATCTTAATTTGAATTACAAATTTAAATGCAAGAATTATTTCAATTTGTACGAATAGCTTATTCAAGAATTATGTGAAACCGCAGTGCTTTACTTCGCCAGTGCATTCTCATTAGAATTGATGAATTTATCCTTCGGGTGAGCGGTGTGATTGCATCCTAATGGACTTAATTAAAGCAAATGGTTTTAGGGCATAAAATTTAACTGTCTTTTGTAAAAATTCTATGTAATTGTATGCCAGTATTGAAAGAAACAATCAATCTGATAAGAAATGGCTGCGACTTGTTTTGAAAATGAAGCGTAAAAGGTTACCAGTGAAGATATTCCGTTTGGCATTAGTTGTACCATTATTGGTGACTTTATTGTTTGTGCCGGCAAAATGGAAAAGTACCCATATTTTTTAGTAGTGTTTCTAAAGTCATTGTAATTAACATCTCTTTGTATAAAGATGTGAAGCTGAATCTTTCATTGAAGATAGAGGAAGATATTCATGAAATTCTGATGGGTTTCACATGAAAGCCGATATGTATTCACATATTATGCACTTGCGGAACTTCTCCATGGAGGTAATAAAGAAGAAGCCATACTTCCTTGTTAAAGCAGTCAATTTGGCAAAATTTTTAATTAATTTGATGAAAATTAGAAAACACTATAGTAACCTTAAAGAAAATGAAAAACATTTATGAGTGTGGGAGGGCTAACATTTAACTTTGCCATAACTCTGCAATTCCTGTTGTTATAGAAACAAATATTTTCTCTCATCCTATATAAATCAAATTTGTTTAAAATCCGCAAATAAGATCAAAATAGATTTAAAAATAGCAATGCTTTTTTTTGCCTATTTTCCGTTGGCATGGTGCCCTCCAAGTATTAAGATTAAGGGTTCGGCATGGCCAAATAATTTCCAGAAATGTTATGCGTGGTTTGTAAACAAATTTTTACCTTTTCATAATTAAAATGCTGTGAAAGTACCTATATACAGTCAAAAGTCGTTAATTCGGACACCCATAATCCGGACTTCAAAGCTACAAATTTTCTGCGCATGCGTCGCGATGACGCGCGTAAGACCTTTACGGCTGCGAATATGCTTGTGTGCGTGCGCAAAATACGTTTACGAGTGCACATTTAATGTATAACGGATAGTATAAGCTAAGCTAAAATTATCTAATTATTTATTTTAGTTAATGTTGCAGATTGCGTTGTTCCTTAATCTTCGAATTGGATCCGGCTTATTATTTTTTGCAGACTGTTAGAGCAATTTTATAAAAGTAAGCTTGAACTTTCGATTATGTCAAATAGAATTTCTGATATATATTTATTAATATGTAAAGGATCTACAAAGCGAAAGTATGTTTCGAAGTTCATTATACAAAAAATAGGTAAAGGCATATCCTTTGTTTATCTTTAACGCCGCGGCGCGCAATGAATTGGAAGTTGATCTGTCAGCACTATCCTTATCTTCAGGGCAGATGTTTTTATTTTATTTGGCTTATAATTCCTTACTAAATGCAGTATTTCATCTCGATGTACTCTGTCTTTGATATGATTTAAATCAAATTCCTCGTCATTATAATTCGCTTCCGATAGCGAAGAAAGTGACAGAGGTTATTGAAAACGAAAAAATTTCGATTGACAAATTAGTCGGTAGACACAGCAATTATAGGACTTGAACAGCAGAACTTTGTAACTGAACAAGAAATTATATCTGTTTATAGAATTAAAGAGAATGTATTATCACATAAAAAACGAATCAACTTAAACAACTTACATTAAAAGAAATGTTTAATAAAGTAAACAAATAAATATTAAGCTTTTTTTTTTTTTTTTTTTTTTTTTTTTGTAAATTTTGATACCCTTTAGATCTTAATTGTTCTTTATTTTATAAATTACGGTTTCATATTTTTAATTTTATAATTTCTGCATGCCATCTTACCAGATTTAAACTGATGATCGATAATCCAGAATCGCCGAAGTCCCGACGAGTCCAGATTAACGACTTTTGACTGTATATGTTTCTGGTTATATTTATATTAAACTAGCAGCTATGTGGCCAGCCATCGTCTGGCTTTTAAATGTACCATAAAAGTGCTTGAAGGGAACATCAAACGTTAAATTTAAAATCAGCGCAGAATTTTATTCTGCAAAACAACTTCATTAAAAAACAAAACAAAAAAAATTTTTTTCTTAATGTATAACGTATAACAAAATTACAATGAAATAAGCAATATCCCTTAATACAAATATTAATTATCCTAATAAATAAATTAACCAACTACCTGTTGTCATCTCTCAACAAACGTCCAGTATCCAAGAGAAACATTAAATCTAAAACTGCACAGAATTATCGCCTTCATTTTTCCAAGTGGCAACAGTGCTGATTTTCAACA